TTTTATTTGAGTACAACAAACACGACTCAATATACGCCTAAATATCTAATTCAAGTTTTTGAACATGCAAAATTCAAAAATGCTAACGGCACCTGTGTCAGATTTCGCGATGATATTTATAATTCTGGTAACCTTTCACTGATACACTTCCTAAGTTTCAATTGTTGCGTCAGGGTTGTTCGGTGGTCTGTGGTGTTCATATCCTATGGTCTTGAGAGGTTAGAATGTGGTTCTCTCGGCCTGGTAACTCGCGCGCTTGTAGTAGGACTTGTAGTTGAGTTCTCTTTTATTATAAAAAGCCTCCAATACGACATCAATGTTCAAAAATCTCCAAATTTCTGAGATGTCGACCGTGGTAAATCAGAGAACACTGCTGTTGGCATGATGAATGCGCCATGTTCCGGTGAATCTAATTTAGTCGTTCCAGTTTCTTATGCGGAAAAAGCGGTGTTGTCGCAGTTTAGTAATTAAAAGAAAGAAAATTACGGACCTCTACCAAATTCAATATTGCAACAAAAATAAATAGGGGATTCCATTTAAAATAACAAAATCATGACGTGTTACGTAAAAGTGGTAAATCTGACAACATTGCTGCTTTATCGGTCCAGTTTTGGCAGTTTTGGGGATAATTAAACATTTCTGTAGTTTTTACTAGAGCGTTGCAAGATCAGAGTTAGAAATCGTTTTTTTCTTTAAAAAAAATTCTGAATATTGTTGAAAACTGCAGCCGGATAATGGCGTTTAGTTATCTTTTGTTTCGGGACGCATTTGCAACGGCGTGGCAAATCCTGAAAGCTAAACATCCCCCGTTGCCGAGTTAAGTAATTACTTTCGGTGCTGGAGCAATTTATTACCAAACCGGAAAGAATGGCGAAATCGGCCGCGGAGAAATGCAAAAGCAGATGTTTTCCGGAATAATTGCTTTTTGGCGGGTCTGATGAAGCGAGCTTCGGGCTTTTCACCGCTCCTCGGTTGCAATGGTGCACCAACGAAAACGGCTGTATTCGATGGCGAAACGTGCGCTTGTACTTGAAACAATCGATTTTCCACTTAAAAAAATCTGATTTACTTAAATTTTTCCAATTGCTGGCTTGTAACATGAGATCGATGCCAATATATGCAAAAAATTCTGGACCAAGATTTTCTTTGTTTTTTTCTCTCTCTCTTTCCCTTTTTCTGTTGGTAGGGGAAGAAATTGAAGAGATCTCGGGAAATTTTTCAATTTTCCAAAATAGCAAAAACACCAATATTGTCAATATATACTTGAACTGAGCTCTTTCTCTCTTAGTTAACAAAAACAATGGTGCTAACTATTTGCTATTGGTGCCATTGGATCGCTTCCATCGAAAAAAAGTTTCCTCTCAGTTGCAATCAAAGAGTATAAGATAGAGGGGGAGGTCGCGTATACTGTTACGAATGCCATCTATTATTTGGGATTCTGAGGTCAGCATTGCACACTGCGGTTTATCCTCCGCTTGCTCCACTCAAAATATCCTATAAAGGTTACCAGTTAGATTCAGTATCAGTCAAAGTCCATTGCTCGAATAGAAAAAAAAATTTCCGTGACCAAATGAATTTTCCTTGACGCAAGTCGGTAATGGGTGAGTGGCCTGAGTGGATGTGCCCACATGAAAAGCTAAGAGTATTGTTGACATGAAAAGGGTGCACATAACCTGGATACTTGCAGTTCAAAGAAATAATAGTTAAACAATTGAAGTGGAAGCCTTGTGGTAACTTTGGCTGGAGTACGTTATCATAGATAATATATTAATCTAATTGTCCGCATTAGTTCAGAGATCCCAAGACATTGTTGACATTTCCAGTGCAATTATACGCAAAATGATAGATGAATGAATCAGTTATATGCAGAATTTAATCTGTACATGCATACGTTAATATATAACGATAATTACACTAAGGCATTGTCTTGAAACTGCCTATTTTTCATATGGCGAGTTGTTTCATTACGTAGTGGCCGAAAGCAAAATAGTAGCTAAAAGTCTTTGGTAGTCCTCTTCGATACAAGAGTACGGAGAAGCTGTTGGTTGACGTCTAAATGATTAGATAGCAAGGAAGAGCGGCCAGTTGTCAGTACTGTATATCGCCTGTGGTTTTTACCGATACACTATACATAGAATAATAAGTATTGAAAAGCATAGGTAAATTAGAAATTTAACTTAATGTAGGTTAACAAAATGGCTTTCTAATTTTTTATGAAACGTTCCCAGTGGTCATATGGCTTGTAAGAAATGTCATTTTTTATTGTGACAATTTTAAAATGGATTGCACTTACCGTTTACAATGTAATTATAGTAATTTTAATATTGTTGCTTTGCATTGCATTGCGCCATTGCTAAAATGTTTATAGCGAGATAACTTTTAAGGGGTCTAAACTCCAACTCGACTTTCCCGCCTGACCGACAAGTATTCCACGCGCCGAAACATTAATAACGAACATGTCCATCGCATAATATAATTTTACAAAATTTATCGTCGGCTAATGTTAAACAACCGCCGATCGATCAGATCCAGTGATTTAACCAATTGAATTTCAGCAATAGAAAGGGAATTAGAGTGGAAACATAAATCTGCGATTCGATATTAATGCCGCGAGTATAGCCCAATGGGCTCCGGTAATATTAATCACAATAACTATTATTATTGCAAAATGGCGAATCGCGTTAAAGTGAAACTCCCATCGTTAGGCAAAATAACATTATTAGCGGTGTTTGCGTCCCAAACAAAACGAATTAATAAATAAATACGGCGATCGACGGCGAATCAATTAAAAACAATGCTGCCTCGTTTGTCGGAATTTGTAACATGAAATGTATACGCTCCAGCCATATAAAAACATAAACAAAGACGAAAATGTTTTAATAACATGTTTGGAAGTATCCACTTTCAGTATTAATTAGATTAGTTTTGGAGGTTGATTAGCGATTTTAAACTCGATCGGGTAAGTTTTCATTCTGTTCCACAAATGTACTGGCGACATCTATCGGCCGGTGTCCTAAGCGCACATCCGGTTCGTTCTTTTAGACGTAGACGGCGCGGTAAGTACATGTTTACCTAGTCTTTGAGAGCTATTTAAGACCACACGCATTTATGAAGTGTTATAATTTAAAAATCCCGAATGAAATTTGTATAAGTTCCGAAAATTCTGTTTGATATTAAAGAATTTGTCAACTAAAAAGTGTTTTTCCTTTTAACCCATTTTGTCCCAATGGTGCGTTAATGCACCACCTATTCTATGATTTTTTTTTCACATCCATTTCGAAATTTTATTATTATCACTACTAAAGGACATAAAACCGTAGAAATCGCTAATTTATATGTGAAGGAAAGATCTTATGTATGACTTCAAAAGTTAACAAAAGCGGTACATAAATTTATATCAAATTTTCAAGAAATTCCAAAAAAAATTTTTTTGATTTGCATCGCCATTTTTTTTAAGTTTATAGCATGTAGATTACATCGCAGAAAACATCATTGGAAATACTATATTGATTATGCTTTATTTTTTGAGAATATGTAAATGCGCCAGTCTAGACAAGTCAGCGCATGTAGAATAAACATCCAACAATTAACGTGTTCTTTAGTATTAGTTTGTGCCTTGTGCAGCGCACGTTACAGTTCGTTACAGAGTTTGGCGAACCAACTGATATAGTTGGAACTTTCGCGTTACATGCACCGAATGATACAGCTGACCTTCAACAGTCCTGCAATTCATCAACTACTAAAACTGAATGTTACTCACCAGATGATGAAACCCTGGAATTCAAAAGAAGAGGTATGCTTTCTGCAAACGACAGGCTTGCTTCTACTGTCAAATGGAAGAAAGATCAGAATGAGTGAATGAATGAATTTAGACCATGCGATGAACTAAAAAATAGGCTTTCTGGAAAAACTCCGCTTGAAATATTATTTATACTTATATTTTTGAACTTTCTTTTGTATATTTATGTATAAATTATATGTTACATCTTACTAGCCCCAAAACATTATTTAATGTTGTTAGTGGTTCGATTACGCACCAGCATTTTTTTGTACGTTTTATTTTTTTTTTTGATACATGTAATGTATTCTTAAGTAACACAAAGTAAATAATTTGAAAAGATTTTTTTATTTTTTTTATGCTGGGGATAATATGGGTTAACTTATTTATTGGGAATATTAAGGACTTGCAATGAAAAATAAATAAATTATAGACCTTGTATTTATTTAGTTAAAAGGCGCAAATGAACAAATCAGTTTTTTTCAAATTAATAATAATATTATAGATAATATATATATATATATATATATATATATATATATATATATATATATATATATATATATATATATATATATATATATATATATATATATATATATATATATATATATATATATATATATATATATATATATATATATATATATATATATATATATATATATATATATATATATATATATATATATATATATATATATATATATATATATATATATATATATATATATGTATATATATATATATATATATATATATATATATATATATATATATATATATATATATATATATGTATAGACATAGATAGATAATTCGAATCAATTTTGGTGTAAATATATTAAGAGCAAAAAATAAAGTTACGTTACGTTATTAAAAAAAATCCGATAAATACTGCTTTACTAGTATTTCAAACAGCACGTAAAATATATAACATAGTATCAAATCCGATTAAAATCCTTTTTAGCATTTCTACTTCTTATTTTATAGCCATCCATTACATATAAAAATAATAATCCTATTATTATGGATGATAATGTTTTTTTTTTGCTTGTGCCAAAAAGGTTTTAGTGACAATATTAAAATCTTTTTTTTTGTCATATTGAATGACTCTTGGCTAGATTCATTGATTTGGGCCAGTGCCCATTCTAAATTTGTCCAACAAAGGCAAGAGGGAGGAGAAAGAAAGATTATAGTGAGGATAACATTGTTTCATAACGTGGGGAAATTGCTATTTTAATGGTTACGATTTATGAATACCCTCCTGTTATTACCTAAGGTTAAATTAAATTGTCAATTTTTAAATAATATGATTTAAGCTAACCTAAAATTATGACGGTTTCTTTTACGGTTGTCGGCAATCAGCGTGTGTCCAAAGTTACCTTGCCCACGTTAAAAGTAAAGAAAACAACGGGCCTGTGTAATCTGTGTAATTTATATTTACCATTTGTTTTAATGATCTATGGCGGTTTTGTTACCCTACTGGGCATATCTTCAATTACATCCTAACCTCTTAGATTCCGGTTGTTTTAAACAACATGCCTAAAATCAGAGCGGAGAAGAAAAGTCGTGTCCACAAAGATGTCGCAAGACAAGGGATTATGTTCAACAAAGATTTCGGACAGCACATTCTTAAAAACCCGATGGTCATTACCGCCATGATCCAAAAATCCGGACTGCGACCGACAGACACCGTTTTAGAAATCGGTCCTGGTACTGGTAATATGACGGTGCAGCTATTGGAACAAGTGAAAAAGGTCATCGCCTGTGAAATCGACACTAGATTAGTGGCGGAACTGCAGAAAAGGGTGCAGGGGACGCATCTGAAACCCAAACTTGAAATTCTAGTGGGGGACGTTCTGAAAATGGAGTTACCAAATTTCAACATATGCGTGGCGAACATTCCTTACCAGATTTCGTCGCCGCTGGTTTTCAAATTACTTCACAGACCTTTCTTCCGGTGTGCCGTGCTCATGCTCCAAAAGGAGTTTGCCCAACGCTTGGTGGCGAAAGCGGGAGATAAATTGTACTGTAGACTTTCAGTGAATACGCAACTGTTGGCTAGTGAATACGCAACTGTTGGCTAGGGTCGACATGTTAATGAACGTAAGTCCTGATATTTTTCAGTTTGGTGTTATTATGCAATGCTGATAGCTTGAGATTTTAATGTAATTCTAGGTAGGTAAAAATAATTTTAGGCCGCCACCGAAAGTGGAGTCGGCAGTGGTTAGAATTGAACCTAGGAATCCCCCGCCTCCGATTGTGTACGCTGAATGGGATGGTCTTACGAGAATCGCATTTACTAGAAAGAACAAGACCTTGGGTAGTGCATTTAAGCAGACATCTGTTATTGCGGCGCTCGAGAAAAATTACAAAGTGCACTGCAGCTTAAATAATTTGGTTAGAGACGTTTGAATTTTTTATGGCAGGTTTGTTTTCATAAATTGTTTTTAGGAAATTCCCGATGATTTCCACATGAAGGAAAAAATTGAGGAGGTAATAACGAAAGCGGACGCTTCCGAGAAAAGAGCCAGGACTATGGATTTAGATGATTTTATGACGTAATGTTGTGATAAATTGCTACTACCGAAAATAAGTTTTTATTTTTTTTTTAGGTTATTGCATGCCTTTAACAGTGAAGGAATTCATTTTTCATAGTTTTCTTAATTACAGCATAGGTCTGTAAGTTTCAATTGTTTTGACACAACTACAGATGCAAAATGTTCATTTGTCTGGATTTTAGCTGGAAACTGGTGATTTTTTTTTTGTTGATACATATATTACCTATATGTCTTTGTAAATAAAGTAATAATAAATGATGAATTTTGTATATTGGTGATACTGAGTGTCCAATCTTTGTTTATTTATTACTGTTATTGTGCAATATACTTCAATCAATGGGCAAAACAATACCCGCCCTTCTACGTTTTTTCCCATAAAAATGGCAACGTCTATATTAATTGTTGAATGTTTTTCCGAATTTGCTGAAAAATACGGTTAGAGCACACTTTCTCAGTGACTACAGGTGGCCGAATGATTTTTTGAAAGTTGGCCACAAGTGAAAAACAAAAAGAAGAAGATGATTCTGTTGGCCGTAATTGGTTCCACTCCATCATTTTTAAAGAGTTGTAAATGGTTGTAAACTGGCCCGTCGAACTGAGGAAGAAGAACCTACGAGTGATCGGGCGGCATTGCACAGCATTGTTTAAGTCACTTTTTCGATGAGTCTGAATAAAATTTAGATATTATATTTTGATGGTATAAATGAACCGCTGTTTTTTCCATACACGTCGATGATCAATCCGGAAAGACTCGGTTGTCAGTTATTTGTATAGAAGTTGATCCACCGTTGCAAGCTGGCTGCATTCTCTTCTGTGGAGGTGGCAAAATAAAGTGTAAAGGAGGTAAAACCTATCAACAACAGTTTAAATCAATAACCCGGAATAAATCGAAACCAGTTTTTATTGCAAATATCAACCGAATATAAAATTCATTTTGAAAACTTACTGACTAGAAAAATCCGACCGTCTGACGGCCTGCCCTCGAAACGAGCACAGTAGAAAAAGTATACAGTTATAGAGTCGTTAATTATTCAACACTCTTAATTCTTAACTCAAATCGAACACATATCAAACGCGAGTTTCGTTGCCCCCTTGATTTATCCGACAGCTAAATTACATAACTCGGCGAAGTAATAAAATGTAAGGAATTCGATATCTGACTGCTGATGTTCACCGTCAACAACGAATTGGCGTCTTTCTGAATCCCGCCGAACATAATGAGCTCGGACTTTCCCTCGACTAAAGTATACAAAATCGTCTCCTCGGGACCGTTTTTCACGCCCTTCGGCGGTAACCAAATCGCGACCGGACTTTTGGACAACACTTGCGAAATATCCAAAACGTACATTCCCAAGTAATGCGTCTTCTTTTCCCGTTTGGTCGCAGCCCCTTTCGTCATCTTCTCCTCGATCTTTAACAGGTTGGCCAGTCTTTTCTCTCTAGCGGTCTTCTTGGCCGCGCTTCCGACATCCGAGGGTTGGGAAAACGCGGCCATATTTAATGACGGCGAATTTAACCCGTGAATCTGCAGGGCAAAACGTTGACGTTACCAGGAAATTTAGAAAAATGCACCAATGGAAAGCGTTAACAACGTGAATGACGCAAAACTTTACGAAATATTCAGAAATTTTGAACAAAAACAATGAATGAATAATTAGGATTCCATTTCGCTGCAACTATTAACGAAATGAACCAAGTTTTAAGGGATTAATGAATATGACCGACTTTTTGCATACCTTATTTTAGTATTGTTTCACCATATCCATTATTTGGATATATATAGGGGAACTGTCACTGCTAAGAGTATATTATGCAACAAGTGCGGTAAACGGCATTTGAATTTTAATTCATTAATATTTGGCTCGAGCGGAGCGAGTGTTTAATAAACGAGCGACTAAAGTTTACCGAACGTGTTGCATACTATACTTTTTCTACGAGCGTCAGTTTTTCGTAGGAAACGAAACTGACGTGATAACGTGACGCTTCCCGCACGCTAGGTCATTGTGTATTTTACCGACCGGAGTAAAAAAAAATTCTTCTTCTTTTTTACTTAGGTTAGCTAGGATCATTCGGCCAAAAAATTTTTTTAAGTGCTGGCACAATCAAATTTCGAATTTCGTTATATCAAAGAGGTCCTTTCTATAGTCTACACAAAAGATAAACTGCGGTTCGGCGATAATGAGGATCTTGTGCAGCTGGTTTAAATTCCGATGCGGAACACGTTAGATCCGTAACATTATTTGGAAATTAAAAGGTCTGCCTGGAACCTCATTATCGTTCATCATCAAAAACATCCAACAAAATCTTTGTTATAAAGTTGAGCCTGTGATTCGAGCCAAGTGGTTTTCTGCATTTTCAAACGTCGCCAAACACATTTTCCATTGCGATAAACACCTTTTCCTTTAAATAAACTAAGGATCTAAAGTCCATATAACGTCGGAAAAATTAAGTTGTAACCTAAGAGGTGCAAAAGGGCCTAATGAATATCATTTACCACAGACAAACTGTGCACCTCTTCGTCTTCCATTGTACAGAAAATCGATCACGTAATAAAGCTAACTAAAAAAATTTCACTAATGGCTAGCTTCCGGCCTGCAGGTGAACTTCGCCCCCCAATTTTTACGAATGTTTAAAATTTTAAAAATGAAAACTTATATTCTCTTTTCTTTTTTAGTTAGCTTTGGTTATTTCTAGTTGCTTGTGTTTTTAATGAACCTGCTAAAGACAGATGTCTCTGATTACTGACCAATGGTTTCACTTCGCTACTTAGATGTTAGTATCACTGCCAAAACAAAATTGTCTTCCCTTTCCTTGAAATTTTTTGTGAGTAATTTTGTCTAATTCATTGATTAAGGTTCTTGAAAATTTCCTTTTTTTTTGCAAACTCCTGAATATACAACTCTTTTGTCATCATGTAATATTTATATAATATAAATATTTATTTTCCAGTGGCGCAGCAATCATGTTTTACCTTAATTTCTCGGCTGGCGTTCGAAGGACCCGCAACGGCACTCTCGTCCTCAATCTCCTCCGCTTCGCGTTTCGGGTTTTTCAACACACCCCTTCGACCATTGACATTGTCATCTTTGTCGGGTTTGCGATTCGCCAAATCTATCCTAGACAACCTGCCGTCTTCCGGCACATTCTGCTGGTGCCACTGACTTCTAGGATAATAGACCACGGAGAAGTCTTCCTTCTGTCTAACCCTGTTCAACACCACAATTTTGTCCCCTATCTAAAAAGCCTTCATTCAATAATGAAGTCCTGTCAACTTTCTATGTTTTTAGATGGCTCAGAATCTCAGCACGCCCATACCTTGCAGCCGGGATTGCTCCAAATATTTGAGGGTTCGTTCGATTTACCCTGGATATCGACCTTGATCCACTTCCACAAACTACCAGACATGTTTAAAACCCACCCGTCGCAATATTGCATCGTGGGACCACCCGATCCCCCCAAAATTAATAAATTGCATTCGTCTAATATGACCTGGGTTTGGCCGAATCTACCGAACGGTTTGGCGCCCCCTATAAATTAATGTTTAGCAAGAGAAAACCCACGACGGTGGCGACGTGCCTTGGACTTCCTGTTTGTGCCAAGTCCAAGTCTCCAAGTTTAATTTCCATATGTCGTTTGACTTTTCGCAATGTACAGCGGTATTTGGCTTCTGCAAACCTCCGAATATAATCATCCACTCTCCCACTACCGAAGCCGAATGCCCGGCAACGGGAGGTGGCGTATTAACGGTACTAATACAAGTCCATCTATTGGCGACGATATCGTAGACGTGGAGTTCATTGAAGAGATGCCAACTTTGGTAGAGTGGGTAAGACGGTGGGTATGTCCAACCACCAAATAACACTGAAAATATTTTTTCCAAAATTTTTGCAAGTCACTGTAGTAAACTAAAGTTATTTTCAGATTGGTGCAACAACCGGTTATTAACATGCAGCGAATAGGAACACATTTGTAACCTTGGACGTGGGCGGAGCTAAATATAACACTGAAGGAAATAAAATGAGTATCAATGGGTTTTTTTGATGTAAACACGTTTGCAAAAACAAAATTGAAAAACATCAAAATAACTTACCTAACGAATTTTTATATTTTATCAATGAACTGCAAGCTTTAGGCGAAGGATAGGTTCCCATGGTCAAGGGTCTGATCCACTGCCTCTTCGATAAATCTAATCGCCACAGGTCATTAAAAGTAGTCATTGCACAGGTACAGCCCCCAAAGATGTACATAGAGTTCTCATGTACAACTGCGGTATGCGAGTAACGTTTCGTTATTGTCGGGGCCATATCTACCGGAGTCAACCTATCCCATTTTATATCAAAATCATTAATTGCTTTGTACAGGTTCCTTTGTTTCATTTTCACCACATCTGCAAGAAATTTATGTAAATATATTGCGAAAAAAAATAAACACCAGCTAATACTCAAAACGCATCTCCTCCATTTCTTTGATACAACCATACAATCGTGCAAATCTTTGTACGGTGAAACGAAAGACAAAATAAATTCTAAAACTTCTTCGGGTAAATCTTCCACAGTCAACGCGTCCATATCTCGAGCACAACGGCGACCAACATCTAAATATAAGTCAAGCTAATTGATCGTTTTTTTTAAATGCATCTGATTTTATACGTTTATCGCGTTTTATTGTTTTAAATTTGGATGGAATGTTCGAACGTCATTGTCAACGAGCGCTGTCAAATTCCTCTTCTTTTCGTAAGCGGGGCCGTGACACAGAAAATGAAATTCATGTTGGTACGATTCATTAAAATATGGATTTTTGACTGATTTCTTTAACTGCATTCGCAATAAATTGAAATTAAATAACAATCTTCGGCGGCAACGAAATAAAATCAAAACTTTGTCAAATAAGTTCGCGCATTCCTCAATGCTATTCCAATGAGGAACTGACTCGGTTGGTTAGTTAGTTCTCGGCCGTCGCTCGGTTCGACCGGGATTTTTAATTTGGCGTCAATTTTAAATACGTTCGATTTTTAAAATAAATCGTGATTGTAATTTAGACAGTTCGAAAGAAATGTTTTAATTTCGGGCCTCGCGCGTAAACGTAATAAAGTTTAAACACCGCCTGAGAGTGTTTGATTTTTATAACCTAACATTATCTGTTTGGACCCCATAAACAGCGTGTACATAGCGAATATGTCATTATTGGCGCACTTGGGACCTGTCAGTGAACACATAAAAAACATTAAGGACGTGTTACCCCACCAGTTCGCTTTAACAACTAAACAAAAGGTTTGTTGTTGAGTTCACACCAACACATTTCTAACACAGTTTGAAACACCTTTCAGTTAATTGTGGTATCACTAACTGCTAGTATTGCAGTCGTCGGAGCCCTAGCTAAATACCTGAAGCGCAAGAAAAGAATTGTCGATCCAGTGATTTACAAGAGAAACAATTTTAGCAGCAAAAGATCCAGGGCCTCTGGTATTCGCAGTCCCAATGGTAGGTAACTGACTTTGTTTACAAATTAAAAGTAGGACTCCCATTTTATTCAAACACGTCTTGACAATCTCACAAGCTTTCCTAATCAAATGCACTTTGTTGAGCAGTCTGATATTTCAGTTGTAAAGGTGCTATTATTTTTTTCACATCGTCAAGATTGTGCTGAAAATAAATTATACCTGTTTAACGTAGTTTTAACAGCCCAAAATATATCAGCGTATTTTGGGTTACGTATCGTTTCTTCTTCTTTAAGATCACAGATTACAACAGATAGTGAATGTTTCTCTTCTTTGAATTGGTTCGACCTCGTCGTTATAACGGACGGTATTGTTTTACCTACTTTACAGACATGGGGAGCACGACCAGCAGCGGCCGAAGGAGTGCCGCTTACAGCAATATTTACGGGGAACGTTACGTAAGGCAAGGATCGACCATAGTAAGCGAAAAAACAGCTTCCGTCGCCTCCGGCAGTGCGATTAGCGGCGGTTTGATGATTACTGCAATAGATGGCGCCAGCGGTGAAGGTATTCAGCTTACCCCTCAGCAATTGGGCGTGATGGGTGAGTGATTTTTGAATTTCCTTGCTCCGTACGTTATTGTATGACTTGGCGGCTGTTGACTACTAAAAACACTTGCTAAATTCTAATGACTTTTAAATTGATCGAATTTCCTACGACCGCGCGCTCAATAATTTTCCAATTTAGAAAAAAACTATTTTAAAACATGACCTTATACGTCGTTTAGTTAAAATAGTGGCTGACAAACATCAAAACGCGCGATTATGTTGTTAAATAACAGTACGGAGGACTTGGCGCGCTCGCAATTTGGAATTATGTGCCGCGGAGTCATAAAAAGGCTCCTCATTTTTTCCGTGCTGTAAAATAAATTCCGGAAATCAGGAAGGCTTTGAAAGTTTTGCTTGTCAAACGAGGCGAGACGAAGAACGCGGTGCGGCGTGTGAATATCAACGAAAAATGAACCGAAGATATAAAATATGCCGGCTTTCGTATTTGGGACACGGGGATAGATCGATATTGAATGCCGTTTCTGGTTTTTATATAGACTATGCTGATACGATAAAATAAAATACGAGTATCGGATCTGATCGAATAGTAATTCAATGCACGGGCGCCATTTTTTATTCGCGATGACGTTTTGTACTATAACTCGTAATCAGTTGTCGATTGTTCATAAGTATATACAGGGTGACTCATAAAGAACTGGAGATACTAGATTATTATGATTCAATGCTCGAATAATAAAAATTGTCAGTTTGATGTTTTTTGAAATGACAATTATTTAGGTAAATCTAAAATCATATTTTTTTATCGGTGGAGTTATGGTCGAAACATGATCAAAAGATCTGAAAGAATGTTGTTTAGGCCCTCTAGCTCTGTATAAAAGATATATAAATATAAAGATGAAAAGATATGGCGATTAATAACAAACTAGTACTTAACAATAACAATTTTGGTAATATTAATAATGAAAGCACTGTTTATGAGTTTTTCTTCTAGTAGGCTTGTATTAGCATTTACGAAATAATTAAATTTCGGTTAGGTTACTGCATAAATTTGTTTAGTGAAATCCGTGAAATCGGTGAAATCTTTGTTATCTGTGAAATTCGTGAAATATTTGCATAATCATAACTTCGAGGTTTGAACACTTTCCAATAAATAAACAAATTCGAATAATAAACAAATTAAAATAAAAAAAAATGGCAATGTGTAAATATTAAATAAATATTTTTTAAGTTGTAGGCGTCTAAAAGGTTGGATCGTAATCAATGACATACATAACATATATGAATTTTTAATTGAGATGTTTTTTAGTATTCAATCAACCCAATTTTTCAAAATTATTTTCGCGCCATTCATCGTAATTCTTTCATCAACATATATTAATAATTTTTAAAAAACATTTAACTAAATATCTCAAACATTCTCGTTTTCATAAAATTATAAAGTTATAAAGATAAATAATTTTAATCTATAATTAACAAATCTGAAGAGAAAGAAAAACATGACGGAATATTTAAAATTTATGGATTTATTTATTAGTTTAATTACTTATTTGATAGTTAATTTAATAATCTTATTTTACAATGGAAGAACTCATGGTATTTTTTTAAGCACTTTTCAAAAAAAAAAAAAACAGAGTTTTCAAAATTGATCTAGACAATGAATATTTTTATTTTGTATTAATTCTTCAATATAGAAAATTGGAGTCTATCTTTCTCTGACGGTGGTCCATAATTAGATAATAATTTTCCTATTCATTATCGTTATTTGAAAACTAATACGAATTGGCATAAAATACTTCTATTAATAATGATTTAGTACTAGATAGTAATTAATATTAATGAACTAAAGCTAACTAATTGTTAAATATTTAAAATTACGGTTTCTTATTAAATAATATATTTAATAATAATAATAATAGCAATAATAATAATAATAATAATTTATTTGCTTTTCATGAGTGTAATATGTAATCGGAAATGACGTAAAATTATATAGGGTGTCCCATTTATCAATAAAACATAACAACTTTGTCGTAATAAAAAAAAAATGGAAAAACACTACTCCACCCCTATAGAGAATCGCCCTGTATCTCGGAAACGTATGGGCGAAATTTATTCGAGACTCCACACTGTATTCCCAGAGTGATTGGGACTATAGTAACGGTATATAATCGGTAATATAAGTCCGGCTTTGCGATGCCTTCGTAGGGGCGAGGCAGACCCGACGGCACCGCGACGCCCGTCGAGACGCCGAGTCGTTTTTGTGCCGATTCTTTACGTCTTTGTGTAAATACACTCGCTCTACCGTCACCGGTTCGTTATCTGATCGACGAACCCCCACCATCATCGATTTCGAATAAAACGCCGGGCTGGGGGGTAAAGTGGCGGTGTACTAGACGAAAATATACTATTCCCGGATGCTTGATTGACGGAAGCAACGATAGAGAATCGGGGGGAAATTTTGCACAATCCGGCAACGGCGCAATTAATAATTCCCGGCCCATTCCTCCTACTATGGCCCCCATGAAATTGCTATAAACATTCAAATTGATATCGGTAGTTCAAGCGGTGTTGTAAGTGAAAAAGAGGAAGAACGAGAACTACAGTGTTTACTAATTAAAGGCGAGGAATAACACAGAACAAAATAATATAGAATCCCTATGGGTAACTGTTAAAAATACAGTTGTCACAAATGAAGAAACTTGCTTTAAATGTAAATAGAACTGCAAGAAATCCAAAAGGACGTATGGATATCTGCTTAAAATATTTCTGGTCTTAAAGCGAAACGAAAGGGCTTGAACTGATGATGAAATTAAATGCAATTAAATGAGGGCTAGGACAAAGTTGCTTTCTGTTCTCGGTTTTCTGTAACATATGTTCTGAGCAGATCTTGTCTGGAGATTAAAATTTCGGCTTTTTCCAAAAAGGAATATCGTGCAAAGAATATAAAAGCAATGCATTAAAAGTATGTTGCTGAAGATTTGGTTAGTTGTGCTGTTCTGTATAATTATTGTATTTTATTTCAAAACTTTGCATATATTTTTGAAATTTCAAAGTTGCAGACACGCCCCTTTTAATTTAGGAACACTGTATAGATAGATAGATTCTATTGGTTGTCAGAAGAAATTAAAAAAATATATCTTTTTTTAAACACAATTAAAATTTGATTAACGGATGAATTAAAAATTAAAAAACACAGGTTTAAATTTGATTTGAAGTACTCATCAAATGAGAAGAGAGTATGCGATGATTTTTTTTCTATTGATTGGCGTTAAGGACTAAACATCAAGGATTTCTTTAGATCTCCCAAACCCATCCATTTCCATAGTTTCAGCTCTTTTCATGTACTCTTTGGTGATATTGATCTTTTTTCATAGTTCATAATTAATTTTTTTAAATAGTTATGCGTCGAACCAGGTTTCATCCAAGTAAATAATTGGCCTTTGTTGTTCTCTGTAAATGATAATTTTTTCTAGATATTTCAGTCGCCATTTCCGAATTCTAAAAGATTATATTAAAACTTGCCTTTTGTCATTTTTTTAAAATCTAAAACCCATGTATTGAAAATACTCCCATAAGCCTCCTAATTAAGATATCTAATGTAGGCACGCTTTGTTCCTCGTATAACTGGTAAATTTTACACCGTATTATATCTTGATCACTTTCATCTACACTCGAGAAAATGTCAGCATCGCTTTTTTTTTCTTCGTTGAAATGGGATTATTCACAATTTTCTATACAGTTGATGTTGGAATTTTCGTCAATGTGGCCGTTTCTTCTAAAGATGCTTGCTTGCCGGCAAATGTTCAATGAGAGTCAAATAAACATTGTTTATCCTTAGTCTCAATAGAATAGTGTTTACTACATTTGGGCGGCAGCATCTCCTGAGATACACTAGACTCGCACATATCTTGCATAATTCGCACACGAAATAAGAATGATTACTAATAAACTTAAACTAAGTAGAATACCAAACAAAAGAATATTAAATACAGGTAGGTATAAAATTATTTTCTATTACGGACCACAATTTTACCTGAATTTAAATTCCGAAACTTTAGGTAATAATCTTGTTGCAATGTATGTTAATGTCCACCCTTGGATAATCCAATTCGAAAACAATTGGTCACTTTCTTCTCTCTACGAACAGACCATACTTTCTAAAGTAAGAAATATTCAGAGGAGCTGGAACGATAGGTCAATTGCGAAGCCGAATAATCCCATTCAAAAGCAATTGGTCACTTTCTTATATCTATGAACAGACCATATCACCTGTTTTGGATTGCACGAGCAATTTAAAATAGATATTGGTTTAGAAGTCAAAACGACGTATTTTGTCGAGTCGCATCGGGTCGGGCGTCCGCGTGTTTGAATTATCGATCCGGCTTTATCCCGCGGGACTCAATAGCGAACGGGAAGGAAGGAAACCGGAGAAATGGGGACTAACTCTCTCTCTAGATACATACGCGACGGTACATATTACGTAATGATGTCCGCGCCTGATGAGGGACTTATAATGAGGTTATGGTGTTTTTACGTTGAGCTCCTGCTGACGTCATATCGACGGAATTTACCACGTCGCAGTATTGTAGGTCGGCAACAAATTTTTTTTATGTATATTTATAGAGTGTATATTATTTTCCTTTTTAAAAATATATAATAGTATGCACTTTTTCTCAGCAACAAGTGAATAAATGACAATTTTCCAAAACTGAAGCAGTCTAGTACCGTTTTTATAAGAAATACGAGAAATGAAGGAGAGAAACAAAATAAGTTCAATTTAATAAACAAAAACGAATGGGAAACGCACCGCAAAGAATTACGAGAAATTATGAGTCTTTTTAAATCATCTTATAAAATGTACTAAAGAACAAAAAAAAATAATTATTCAAAAGCCATATAAAGTGTCCTGATACTTGACAGATTATTCAAGGTTTTTACGATATGGACTTCTATTTGAAGACTTTAAGAAAAATGGTTCGAAGGGCATGATTTTTAGAACATTATTGCAAGTTTTGGTTGTATATTATATGTATTATTTGAGGCTTTGAGGCAACTTATAAAATGTACTAATAGTCCAAAATTCAGAAATTAGAAAACAAAATATTTGGCAGATGAGTTGCGTTATTTAAAGCAACGAATAAAAAATATATTTATAATAATTGAGGATTCTAAAATTAAAGAAATAAAAAAAAACAAAGAGCGAAAAAATTGTTTTTTGAAGGCCTAATAAAGTCTCCTGATAACTGAGGACTCTAGTATTTTAAAATAAAAATAAACGAACAACAAAAAAAACAAATTTTTAAAAATCATATAAAATAACGTAACATATAAGGGATCCTTATTTTTAATACATTATTTGAAGCTTTTAAAACAATCTACAAAATTTACTCGTAAAATTCAGAAATTAAGAAGATAAACAAACTCTCAAAAAATAATTGTTCAAAGCCCATATAAAAAAAAGTACTTTTAATTGAAGAAAAGTAGCTCCAAGGGCATATAAGAAATTCTGATTTGTAGAACATTTTTGCAAGTTTTGGTTAAACTAACCAAGACTTGGAAGTTACCGTAAATATGGAGACTATGGAGACATGAAGTGTTCCATAACTATCTTCACTCAGGCTGCTCTTGTCCGGAGTTGCTGAGCAAAATTGGAATACACGTTTGAGGTAGAAATTCCCTCTCTCTGTCTGTTACTGCGGGAAGAACAAATGATGGTTATAATTAAGGAGCGCAAAAGAAGCAATTCAAAACCCTCAAATTTTCAGAACATATGCATTGAAATGAACACGAAATGCAAATATGCGTTTTTATTATATGAAGAATTAAGAATATAAAGAAACATAAAAATCTCACAGAGACAAGTATAAAAAAAAATCGAATAAAAAAAAAGATAACTGAAGCTTTTTCAAAATTTTCACGAAATTGTATTGGCCGATTGGCCCGTCGATAAATAAATAAACATATGTTTGAAAATGGAAAAACCTCGCTTACCATCTACGCTGGTCTTTGATCATTCAATTATAATTCTGGGATCCAGCATACGAATTTGCTTAGAATTGGAGGAAGGATTTTGCTCCTGACAATATCTCAAATTTGCTAGAGATGAATGCCATTTGCTCAATTTGTTTATTTTTATAGCGCAAACGGGAAAGCTGATTGTTTTTTCTCACACTTCTATGTTCACCTCAGGGCTAATTACATTCGAAAATGGCGTTAACGGTGTTTACGCGTTTATGGCAGAGTTGCGTAGGTCAGTAACCCAAACAATACATTATCACTTCGAGACGCTTAAACCAAAATGACGCTCATTATGACCGGAATGTCATCGGTGCCGTTAAGAGGTTTAACTCGGGATTAATTAAAAACTACATGTGTCGAAACGCGCTTGCACTTTTTGTGACGACGTTAAGGCTTAATTAAGGGCTCCGACGAAAGGATCGCTTAATAAATTAGACGCGCGGGCGTGTGCCTGTTTACCCGGGACGTAAATAAACTCGGCTTTAAAGTGTATGCCCTGTTTCTTAACGCGCGAGAGTTATAAATCATTATTGACATGTACAACTTAGTGGTCTTGGCCCTATTCCACATGCGTAGTATTTTTTTTTTTTTTTTTTGGGTAGATAAATAAAACCTGTACTGGGTAGTACTAAAAAAAGTGTATTGCGTACCTGTATAATTGTAATTATATAAATAATAAATACATATTAAAAAAAAAATAGTCTTCAGAATAACTTGAAGTTAGTGGTACAGAAATGATCACCGTCCAAAAAATATTTTTTTTGTTTGTCTGTCCGTTCTCCGTTCTCGTCTTTTAGTTTTTCCTGAATAACTTTCGAACCGTTGCCGGTATCCATCTTTTTTTCACGATTTTCGACTGTTTTTTGGATCTTGCTATGAAACACGATAAGATATTTTCGATTATATACAGGGTTTTCAAATTATAGGCAAAAATCAAAAAGATCTAAAAAATTGTTCTTTCACAGCATAATAAAAAGCTGCTTCGCGCTACGCGCTACGAACTTGCCCCGCCCACCGACGATTTTTCGAAAGCAATCAATCTCCCAATGGCAGCGTCCATGTTTCCTGACGTTTTCAGAAGACCTGCCGACGAATTTTCCATTAAAAAATATGGATTATTCGCGTTTCTTTTTTATTTGCTACGTTAAAGTTTCAGGAGATGTTATGGGAAAAGTTAACTGATGTTTTTTTCAACAATAACAGTAACGATTCCATTCCATTGGTAAAATATTGGGAAGGCTTAAAAACGAAAAAATTATAATTCCCAATGTGCCAGCAAAACTCAACATTCCTAGTTCCAAAATTAGTCGAAAAAGAGTGGGACGGACAGAAGAGCTTTCCATAGATGACGTATGATCTTTTTTATATTGACTGTAACAATATCTTGAATTTTTTAGAATTTTTAGAATTAAGATGTCGAAATCTGTTTAGGATGAAATGGGGACAATGCGTGGGGCAGGTTATAACTTCGAACTGTTATACTGGTTTTGATACAGATAAAGAGAAAAATAAGGTAATTAATTAAACTAACAAGGCGGCATTTGAATCGATTATTAATTATGAATATCTTAATTGGTTTATTTATTTCTAAGTTTTTCAATTGCGCTCTTTTAGAGGCCGACTGATAAATGCTAGTTGAATACATGTGCCCACAACTGTTGATGTTAGTTTTTCAAATTTTTTGGATGTGATTCTGGGTGGGAGATAAACTAAGATTTTCAGCTTTGTCATAAATGATATTTGAAAACGTATTGGACTCGGATGTGGACCACATAGAAGCAATTTCAAGATGCAGAGACAGAAGAGATTGATTTAGTCTATTTCGTTACGGGTACGTTGAATTTTTTCTCGAAGTAAAGCAAAACTAGATTTACGAAGAATTTCATAAGGTGTTGAGGTTTTGATCTGGTGAGATATTTTCAGCTACAACCGCTGCAGGAGAAATCCAGAAGATTTGTAAATGGCATTACAGTAGTTTATGGAAGTTTCTGTAAAAAATAATTGTGTGATACTTTATGTATTATTTTGTTGCGAAATAAATAGATATTATTATAATAATTATTATTATTATTGAATTAAATTGAAGTTAAATTTTTTGAAATCGTTTGTGTGCTATCGATGGAGAAGCAAATGCGGGGGCTTTTAAGCGTCCAGCGGGATCCGCGGGGGTCTGTTGTGACCTACTTTAAAAGCGCGGCGGCTTTTTCTAAAGAATTTAACTGCCGAGCACAAGTTTACTTAATTGGATTCGTAAATACGCATAAAAGCGAACGCCCAAACATCGCTGAAAATGGTGTTAATAAGCCCATAAAAGCGGGCAATTTTATGTTGGTGTCTTAACCGCTGCCAGAGTTATTATCAACCAGCGTTTTAAAGTCAATCTCGTACTATACCACAGATCTTGGCAGCCTCTAATTAAGTCATTCAAGTTAGATGATTTTTGTGGAAACTACCGCGTGGTGTCTGACCGAAAAGCCTGTCTGAGGAACATCAGCAATTATATTTCGTGGACACAGTAATACAGTATTAATCTTTCATCTAATTAATCAAAAATAACACTACTACTTCAAATACGGTTGGAGTTGATTTAATCTCGATTCGAGATACAAAAATTTGCTTGCCTTTTGGTTATGGTGCATTGATGAACATCATAAATTCCATTCCAAGCAATCGTTAAACCTATTGCCAAGATGGCAGACCCTAAATAACTAAAAGATTTGCGGCCTGTAATTATACTCCCAGCAGTGTTTTGGATTCTCAAGTAATTCCTTAAACCTTATCAAAAAGGCATTATAGGAGGTCGGTACAGTCGAGTTGTAATTACAAACAACGAACTCTTTGGTACTAAGTTGATTAAGTAAGGTGTTCCACAGGGGTCAGTAATTTCAGCAATTCTCTTTTCTCTATATGTGCTCTGGTATGAAGCTTAAACAGTTTGCCGACGATTCTGAACTGAGGTTCAACAAAAACTTAACGCAGATCTTAACAACTTGAATTTATTTGCAACAAATCACAACCTAAGACTTAGCCCTCAAAAAACTCAAATTATCATTGATTCTTTCATTCTTTGATTACGCCGAAACTTATCAAAACTCTAATCTATGCTATTTCCACGTTTCTTAGTCTCAAACAAAAGGAAAATGGAGTTTTGTTTCGTAATCACTCATAGCGCCATCTAGTAGTCTACAAGAGGAATGTGCTGGTAATTCGGTTTCCAATTTCAGGTTAATATTGCATATGACCTTTTTTGTACTATTTGTTGTTGATTTACGAACCTCAGAGTAAAAAATATACAGGGTGTTCCATATAAAACGAGTACATTTTCCTAAACCCTACATTCAATCGTTTTTCTGTTTTGCACCAGCGGAGAAACGATTATTTTTTTGTTTTGTTTGCTGATTCAACCGACTTTGTATGTCTACTAATAACAAAGCACTGAATTTCTGTATCATTATCAATCGAACGATAAATGTTCCACGTTTTGCACAAAAACTATGCGTACGAGTAGTCACGCAAGATGGCGCCACGCCAGAAGGTGTACGTGCTGATGTTTGTATTACGCTAACTAATTATGCACCTGTATGTGCAATTTATGTTAATGCGTTCGAACGATCCGTCAGCAGTTGCCAAACGATCGCGGTTTGCCATTGCGTAGACGAAAACGACACCATGCGTTCTAAATATTTTTAATTATCTACATAAAACATGAAATGTACATTTAGAAACAATATAGTAAGATATTTTTATACACGTATTTCAGTCCAATACAGCGTAAAATCGGTAATCTTCGTTACAGCAGGTCCAGGGGTCCTCTATTGATAAATCCTCGGCTTACAGAGTGAGATACAATTTTTTCCTTAATAGTTAGAGATATGAGACGAGAACAGTACGCCGACTCTTACGGGAGTCCTTATACATAGCAGAGTTTTAAGCCTAAAATATGTTGTTTAATTATCACATACAAATATGAACCACGAACATTTTTTTTTGTTTTCGAATAAAGCATCGCAAATCGCCTCTAGTCTACGCAGAACTCTGGTAATTTAAAACTTATTTGTACTTATACGAGAATGGAATGGTAGCTACTGTTATTATCACTGTTCCTTTGATTGATTTCTTTTTTTTTTTGCTACGTTGGGCCTGTGCTCTCTAACGTCACTTAAATTACGGCATTATTTGTACACGTCCTTCCAATACTGAATCAGAAAAGCCTTACTTAGCAAAAATATAGTCCACTCGCTACGATTTGTTTTTATACATATCTCGCTTGCAAAATATATATTTTCCTTACGCAGTACATCTACGTTCCTAGAAAATAAATTTTCGGACAGCGATAATTTACAAAAAAAAAACTAAAACTAAGAAACGCAGATCTCGGATGGATGCGCGCGTCGCGTAAAGGAACCCCGCAATCCTCGAGTAGTGGGCGGGCAGCTTACGATGTCCGTCCACTATTTTCAATCAGGCCTCTTCTAGTTCATTTTTTGTGACAGGAAATTCGTTATAGTGAAATGGATCCAGAAATTATCAAGAAATTGTTTGCAAACTAAAGCATAGCGTTTTGATAGTTTTGGTGGTGGCTCTTTTTTTTTCTTAACTCGACAATTTGACGTTTTACTACGCCACTGGAGGGAATATCAAGACGTTTTCTTCCGAGGGCAGCTGCGCCATTGGCAAGACGATTTCTTCATTACCTCGAAACGAAATTTTGAAGAAGTTATCAATGTGAACCCCAAGGAATGGTGACCAGAAAGCTGAGGCTAGCTACTCGACTGATGAGAATATCTTTTCAAGACGTTCTCTTCATGATCTCGAAACGAAATTTTAAAAGAAGTTTAAGTCTCATTATTCGAATTGAATTAAGAAACCCTCAATCATTAATTGGAGATGATCAAATTTTTAATGTAATAGTTACAGCTCATGCATTCATATTTTTTTTTATTGTTATACCTATTTTAATTGGGGGATTTGGTAATTGATTAGTTTCAATTATACTTGGAAGGAAGAATCAATATGATCACTAAGAAACGACTTGTCACAGAAATTGTGACCAAAGATCTGTTGACAAGAACCTATTATCAGAAACATCCATTTCCGCCATGGTGTGTAAAATGGTGACCAGACATCGCAAGCATGACTATTAAATTGTGGCATGACGATGATAATAGTGGCGTTAATCGTCATCTTCATTTCATTAGCTACAAGCAATATCTGTTTTCTCCGCGCATTGGGGTACATTAAGCATCCGAAATCTGCGTTGGAAGATAATCTACTGGATAAAACTATACCCTAAACAGACTTCGAGAACAATCATAAAATAATATCACCACAACGTCACACTCCGACCTCCCCAAATCTCTATGTACACCGTCACTTTATTTACACTCCCCCCCACTCGAGAAGAACACAACGATGAAGAAATCAACACATCTTTCGGTATAATAAATATAAAGCTGCAGCTGTTGCGTGTCAATCAACACTTTATGTAACACTCAAGACCATCACCGCCATCGGTAGCAACAGATGCAGAACTATCGCAGCCGCGGAAGCCGAATCTTTCGCGGAGATCTCGGTTTTGCTCTCCAGCGACGCCTCGCGGACGGTATGCTCGTCTGACATCATGGCGCCGTCTTCGGGTTTCTTCTCGGCCGCGTGAAGCTCTTCCTGCTTCCTCTGCAGTATCACCTCAGGCGCCACCTCTGGCAACTCCTTGAGCGTGGTAGAGGTCGGCCTGACGGTCGTGGTGGTGCTGGTAGTCGTTGTGGAGGTCGTGGTAGGCGCAGGCGTAGTAGGCACGTAGCTATTGTTATGCAAAAAGTAGATGGGGCTGTAGTTATACACCAACTCGATCACTTTGTTCTCGCGTTTGATGTCGCGTATGGTGATCTCGCGTTTTTCGTTGTCCTTGTACAAAGAGACCACCGTCGCGGTGTACGGTATCTCCATTTCCGTATAGTTCCCCGTGAGGGTTACGTTGACGGCGGTGCCTTCGTCGAGGTGCATCTCAACCGGGACCGTCTCCACTTTTTCCTCCTTCTCCAAGATGCCCCACTTGCCGAGGATCTGGCTACCGTTGGGCAGGAACACTGTGTAGGGCAGCCCCACCTGGATACCGTGGCCTTTGCCCCAGTTGAGCGAGTACGTGTAGTTGTAGCTCATGACGCTCTCCACCCTCTGAAGCCCGTCCTCTTCGTTCTTCAAGATGGCGTGAGCCAGCACCCTCTTCTTCTTCGGGAACCGTCTGCTCGAGCGCAGGAATTTGATGTTCCTGAACTCGTAGGCGATCGGTTCCGTTTCCACCAGGATTTCACCGTCCTCGTACGATATCTCGTTGTTGTTCTGCTCGACCAAATGGAACACGCCGAGGTTTTCCGACGGGTTGAAAGTGCCGATATAGTGACTCAACGAGCCGGTTTTATTGTTACTGTTGACGGGTTTCCTCGACACGAACGTACGCAGGATGTTCTCGCCGCTGGTGACGGCTCCCGCGGGCAGGTTCGTATACTTGTTCTTGCCGACCCAGCTGAGACGACCGCTGTCCTCGACGTTGACCAAGACCTCGAAGTGTTTGTACTCTTGCACTTTCCTGTAGAGCGACACCACGCAGACGTGGTTCTTCGGTCTGAGCTGACCGGACACCCATATGCTCGTCACGGTGGCACGGCAGACGTAGACCGGTTCTTGTTTGTTGACCACGTCGTTTTCGAGGTTTTCGTCGTAAGAGTTTTCTGACGGGTCGGCATCTGGAACAACGAGGACTTCATTTAGATGACGCCATATGCGAGGCGGTGCTTTCGCAAATTGCATCCACGTGGAGAGTTTTAGCTTCCAGCCATTCGTATCTAATTACTCAGTATAATTACAACGATTAACTTGCTTAACATTATAGACCCTGATAATTTAAAACAGGCATACATAAGCCAATTAGAATTTTAATATGAAGCAGATACATGACCAAACTGTCTCAATCTATCACCTTATATGGCTGTTTTTTAATTTTTAGAGGCTTTCTCCATATTCGCCAACAAGAGCTGGCCAGTATAATACGCTACGTTCATTACGATAGAGACTAGGTTGAAGTTTGTGTGCACGATGTCACTTACAATCCGAGATATAGTTGAAAGTCATCTGCAAATTGACGCGAGAAAAGATATTTAAGCCCGTAACAGATGTCTGAGGTGTAAAGCGAGAAGAACAATGTTCCCAGAACACTACTCTGGGGAAATCTTCGAACCACATCAAGACTCGTACCAAGTAAGGAATTTTGTAAAAAGAACCCAACCCAAAGAATTTATGTTTGATACAAGAGTGTCAAATGCTCTACTGCAATCAAGAAGAACTAGTAATATGATCAGATACGTTTAAGAGGACGTTTGTGTAGAATGAGAAAGTTCAGTCACTGTTCTTAGCTACTGGTATAACACTGGCCCACTCCCAGCCACTGGTTACGATCCAGAAACGAAGCAACAGTCCAGCCAATGGAAAACGTCACTGTCTCCCCGTCCAAAAAATGTGGTCAGGTCAAATCAAACATCAAAACGATGCTGATTTGCGTTTTCGACATCAACGGCTTAGTTCATGCAGAGTTTGTTCCGCCAGTTGAGACGGTTAATAAAGCTTTTTAAGTTTTAAGAAGATTGCGCAACAGTATTCCACAAAAAAGACCCAATTTGTGACGGACGGGGGACCGGTTCTTTCACCACGATAATGCACCTACACACACAGCCATTTCTGTTAAGCAGTTTGGTTGGTTAATGACATGGTTCCTCTGATCGCCTGATCTCGCTCCGTGTGACTTCTTTTTATTTCCACGTATGAAAAAGGGCATGAAAGGACAGCAATTTGACAACATTGAAGGGGTCAAGAAAAAAACGAGGGATGAGCTGTCGGCTATAGCCAAAGATGAACATAAAAAATGTTTCGAACAGCGGAAGCACCGCTGGGACAAATGTATTGCTTTGTGCGTTTCTATAATAGAATGTGATTTTGCATTGTGCATACTATTCCGACTCTCCTTTACATATAAGGTTATAAATCGCATTATGCATGGCGACATGGCTAAATGCCTTGTAAATATTTTTTCACTGGGATGGTATTTAGCACGTGACCATAATAGGAGGTCCATTTGCATGTGCCATTGATAATATACGTAGGGGCATGCTAACACCACGGATTTGGTATTTGGCTTAACTCTTACTAGCGATTTACCAGAGTAAAATTGTTACGGTTGGTTAGGTCGATATTCGTATTACCTGGCATCACTTGGTAAGCTGCGATTACTGCATTTTTCAAAACGGATTTGTCTTTGCCGTCGGTCTGCACCCACTGAAGAGTAGTGGATGTGATGACTTGGTCTAGATTTTCGGAAAGGATGTGAACCCTGGGATCCGCGCCGATAAACGACACTCCCAGTATCGTCAGCAGGGACACCAACCGGATCGGATGGTAAGGCGTCATGTTTTAACCTGAAATCAATGAATTAAATAATTAAATTCAACATTCTTTAATATTTAGAGGACAAATAAAGCCAACCTATGATCAATCGCGAAGCAGACACCGCCGAGGTGCAAGAGAAGAACCAATTATACTTCGCAGAGGAGTGCACGGACAATTATTATTATTATTGCGGTCTCGGCGATATTTCATTGCCTCACGTAATTAGACTTGGTTAGAAATGTACGGGGGATTTTTTTCTACGTCATCCGGCAAATTGCCAATTGTTTTATGACACGGGAAGTTATTAACCTGTGCCGGTATAAATAGTAAACCTCATTTTTCCGGGATCGCTTCCACTTAACGGTTCAGATACGAGGAGCTCGATAGAATTTTGCGCAAAGCTAACCGAGGTAAAAAGAGAACATTGACATGAAAGATTAGTGTACGCCCATAGCCTAAGTTTTGTTGAACTTGAAAGAACTAACACAAAGAATAAACACGGATTTTGAACTACAGAATAAGTAGCTGTGCTACAACAAGCTATCTATAAAGATACAAAAGGCGAAAAAGTCACGTAACCCATTCATGTACCGCAACCTCGTGATACTTTATGAACAAGTGATAGCTGAAGACATTGTGTTGGTTTGTCCACCAAGCAAGAACTGAAACTAAACAATAATCACCAATTGTGAACATTTATAAACATACAAAAGCATATGATTATAAATCAAAAGGGGAGCAAACAATGCATCTACTTGATGAAGCTGATTATCAAAACACTAAATGAAGTACCCGGAATCCACCCTTCAATAGCAGTTATTGGAAGCTTTAGATGTTCTCACCAACTGCTCCATCGACATAGGTCAGTTCACTTCAGTTCAGTTTATTCCCATAAGACAAGTTTACCAACTAAGTAATTCTTTAGTTTTGATTTAAAGTTTCTTTTCAATTAACATTTTTTTATTTCTGCAGGTAGCTGTTAAAAACGACTGGTTCTATATTGTATGGCCATTGATATGAACACAAATATACAAAAACCGCATGTTAACGTGGAATGCTCACTTCAGTTGCAGTTATTGGAACTTTAAGATGTTCTCACCGACTGATTGACAGTTCACGTTACCTTTTGTGCAACAACCTGATCGATACTAAGCACCTAAGATACCTTAAGAACAAACTGAATGAACAAAGCCATCAAAGCATTACTTTTGAAACGGTGAAACGTTTTCAGTACTTGTGCTGCAGTTTGTATTCTGTTTGTCGGGTCCATTAAGGATTCTCGTTGTTTTTGATGGATCCCTGCAAAAGCTACTTTCATCCGGGTTTGAAATATGTGAACCAGTAGAATTAAACAAAAAATGCCGGAACCAAAACCATCGCACCATCAAAATAGGTTCGGCAAAACCGCGGACCACAAAAAGGCGATGCGCTAGCATCCGGTTCGAATGGCATTTTCGCGCTGTAAATCGTGCGGATTTTTATCCATTACGGTTTATCTAACTGTAAATCCGAAACTCCTCTCGCAACGTTACACACCGGACTCTCATTTCCATGACGATCGAATAAAAAGCTGTTATAATTCTTTTCCTGCCGCGAGAGATCGCCGGGCCGCGACGGAACGAATTAAAAGGGAACATTAATAATTTCCCTGTTATCGTGTTTTTTTTTCGCCGCCTCGATCCGCAACGTTGGTTTGCAGCGACTTTGTGATCGCTCGTCTTGCGGCTATTTCAATTCGGAACTTTTATTAAGATAATATCGCTCAAAACGAATATTTTATGTAACTTCTTCAGAGCTTAATTGAAACTTGAAAGTAAAAACATGAATTGCGGGATTCTTCCATGTTCTTTAAGCCTAGCTGATATTTTTCGTCCAATGTTATGCATGGAATGCTGTAAACTCCTGCCATCTCGAATGGAATTTTGTCTTTGATGGATCGAAGATGTCGAGAGATTTTTGGACAAGTTGTAAATCGTTTTTTTCAGAATAGTTTAACTTATCATGCCTATTAAAAAGTTATAGCTAGCTGTTATGGTTTTGGTGTTTTCTAGACGAGTTTTATTACAAGTCCTTGCTTGTAGAATTTGAAAATAATTTGTTAAGACTTTCCGTTTTATTCATGTATTATTAAAAGGGTCTCTTTAAACATTAGTTTAAATGCCAGTTTTGAATGCCTAAAAAAGATATGGGTTTCAGAATTGGCGCCCAAATCGCCAGACTTGAAGGAAGGAATTATTCACATGCTTCCAACCAACATTGTAGTATTAGCCATAGAGTCAAATCCAGTTCTCATCACGCGGGTGCAATTATATGACCCAAATCAGAGACCACCAAAATGTTGGGTTATTAGTAACAATATTACAGGGTTATATTAATTGATAACAATTCCAAAAGTCCAATATCCAAAACGTTTTGTTTTTTTTTAAGTTTCTTTCAAAACAGAAAGAGTTACATACTCTATTTATACGAACAATTTAAAACATTACATACATAGGAGAACCCAGTGAAAAAGTTTCAAAACATTTGTCAAAATGTGGTTTAAAATTAGCTTTCAGAACTAACAACATAATAGGAACATTTTTAAAGAACAATAAAACGAAATGTCCAAAATCTCAAAAAAATCAGGTGTCTACAGGTTGAAATGCGGATCTTGTCCTAAAATTTATATTGGACAAACAGGTAGATCCTTCAAGAAACGCATTGACGAACATAAAAGAGCGTTTAAAAACAATAGTCTAGATTCCAATTATGCTACGCACTTAAACACAGAGAAACACATTTTTGACGTCAACTTTGATATTTTACATACAGCCGCAAAAAGTAGAAAATTAAATTTATCGGAAGCCGTGGAGATGAACAAAATGATTGCTTAACGTTCAATTAGATTTAAATACCTTTCCTTTATTGAACTTCAATTCTCACAACAACATTAATTAAGGTTTTATTGTCATTTTTCGGTATATATGGTAGCAGGTAGTTTGTAAATATTAGATTTGATTGTTGTCGAAACAATTGTCATTGTCAAAATATATAATTTCGTGAAAATGTGAACTTTTAGTTCTTATTTATCTTGTTAAATGGAATTTCGTCAAGTAAAAGCCACCTCAGTTCAGTTTTTCAGCTTCTTCCGTTCTTCAGTCCGTCACGTTTCGGACTTGAGAAGTATCGAATTCCGCTGTTTAAAATCTCTGTATACATTCCGTTGACATATACATAACAAAATTTGACGCTCCGTACGGATTATTGTTCCGTCGCCATGTTATTTACATGACACGCGGTCATTGCCTGGTTATGAACCACCGCCAGCCTTGATGTTTCTTTAAAGCATAACAGGCACGAGTCCGAACAAAAAACGGCGACTAGAGCCGCGTTAATTCCAATTATAAGCGGATTTTTGCGTCTCGCCTCTTCCGAGAAATCTCGCGATGAAAAATCGGAAATTGTAAACGGGGGCAGGTTAAAAATTGTCATGAATGGGACGGCGCGGCGATTCATTCGAAAATGTGTCACTTGTCCAACCGGATGCCTTTAATTGTGCGACGTGACCCGTGAATCAGATTTCGCTGTTATCAATTGACTGGCAACGCCAGCGTTCGTTCTTGGTATCGTTGATATTTTAGACCCGACGCAGACCTAGACATACCTGTTACCTCCGAGTAAAGAAAACTATGATAACCCACCTAAATCTGTTGTAGATAATCCAGTTAGCAAAAAAATGTGACTAATCGTTTCTGACTGACTGACTAAAGCTCCTTTCATTTTTTAAACTTTTTTTAATGTAGCCAGTTGGGTTTAGTTTCGTATGTATTTTTTTTTTGTGAAGCTTGCAAAAGAAAAGATTAGCAAAGTTTAGGAAAATTGCCATCAGGAAATTAGAGAAGATAGGCGTACTTTACTAAAAAAAGGAAACAAATTTTTGGTAGCCATAAATATTGGCACGTGAGAAGCTACATGATTTTCTAACTATGATGACCAAACTCACCTAAAGCTATTGTAGTTAACAAACAACTATGGCGATAAAAAAAAAATATATTTTTAACTTATTTTTAAACTTTTTCTTTTAATATAGCAAGTTTATTTTGGTATTTATTTGTGTTTAAAGCTTGTAAAAGCAAAGCAAAGCTTAGTCAAATGTTCATTAGAACATTAGAGAAGATGGTAGTCTATTTGGCTCAAGAACAAAAAAAATTCCTCCTGCGTCGGTTTTTGCTGCCCCTCATTTAGCTCACCCCCCCTCAAACAATATATAAGCAGGTACAGAGTAAAACGCGAGCCAGTTTCAGTCAAGCTCTGAAGAAGCCAACAGGATGAGTGGCGAAACGTCAGTAAGCTTGACTAAAGAGGAATGCGTAAGATTTGTAAAAAGGTTTTATTTTATCCTGGCGACCATCTCGGCGTAATATGAAATTCGTGATCGTTATTAGCGGGCTTATAGCCACAATCGAGCAAAGGCGAAAAGTGCGAGATAAATTCCGGCGGTATTCGCGCATATCTTTTTCTGGTGCCCGTTTCGCCGAGGAAGTCGTCAATAACGCGACCACGGCGTCCACACACGATCCCCAGCATCAACTACATCAAACGCAGTAATTGGTTCGACCTTGCGGAAAAAATATTTTGCACGTCCAAGGAATAGGAACGGAAATTTTAAATTAGAAGCGATCATTTCCCCGTACATCCGCGGCAATGGGAAAAAACCCGGCCCCTTAAAAACAATCTCCCTGTACAATACGGTCTTCCTTTTTAAAAAAAACTTGGAATATACATCATCTCTTATCAACAAATCTCTAAATAATAGTAAATAAAAAAATAAAATAAAAAAATTAAATGATTGTCAACATGTCATCTTAAATGTTTTCTAAGTTTTGTCACTTCTTCTTCTTCTCTTTTAATGGTAATGGCTTAATTGGAAACTCTCGTAAAGTAAATTTAAAACGACACTCTGTTTTTTGCTGGAAATATGGATGACCTGCTGCCGAAAAGAGTCGTCACTGCGAGAAAACAAACAAAAAGTAAAGAAACAAATGCATGA